AATCGAAAACGATGTAACACTAATGTAAATATACATTTCAAATTAAATAAAAATAGAATTTTAAATACAGCCAAATGACGGTTATTTCGAGCTAATGACCTTTAGCTGTCGATTTATTAAAAATAAAAAATAAATTAAGATTTTTTTTTATTCAACATTTTTTAAGCTCAAAATAAAAATGAGGAATATATATATATTTTTTTTGTTCAATTTTGTCAATACTTAATGCGATTTGTACCCTCTACTCAAAAAGTGGACTATTGCAATATCATAAACATTCGTTATTAGTTATTACAATGTACTACAAAATTGTATTTTTGTTTTTGCAGCCTATTAATATATTATCTATTTATTGGATTATTTATACTTAACGGAGACTGGACTCAATATTTCTCTAACTTTTAATCATGTTTCTATTTAAATTGTAAGCAAAAAAAAAAAATCACGAATTACCCGATGTACCAACGAACTGCATCGGGGCATACATTTAAAAAGGATTGAAAAAATGATTTTTTTTGTTTATATTAATTAAACAATGAATGGACTTTGGGTCCATAAGTCATTTAATATAATTATAATTCCCTTATTATGGACATTTCTCGAGGGGTCATTAAATGAACCTGAAATTAAAATCAAGTTATCTGTATAAATCAATAACGATTACAATTGTGTGTTATATTTGTGTCACCACTACCAAAGTTTGATGAACTCGGATAAAAACAATAAAATATTTTATCGATTATCACCTATAATACATAATAGTATATGATGGGTAGAGTGTGTGTGTGTGTGTGTATTTATTCTGCGTGTAGAAGGCCATTGTTAATGTGCCGTGTTTGTCGTTATCGACCGACCGGACCTTTGATTAGGTCTAAAACTACACGATATCATAATAATATTATAGTTAATATATTATTTGTGACGCGCTAGAGTGACGGTTTGCCAATTGCAAAAAAAAAAAAGAAGGAAAACGTCAAATCGAAATAATTTTTTACAATTTTATATCGTTTTACTTCACACACGAGTCATGACCGATGATATAACAGTATAATCATGTACATGAACTTGCCGTTCGACCTTGCGGCGTCGTCTTCAACACGCATAACCCAATTTTTGCTAAAACCTAACCACGGAGAGCATATTACACTCATTGTTGTACAGCGACAATAAGTCTGGGTTAACCGAACCGAGAAAACATTGCCAGTAATTTAAAAACCCCAAAAGAGTTCCCCAAATGTCGATCGTTACAATCAAGCGGATTCGTGTGATCCACTTGAATATTTATTTTAAATTCAAAACACGGCTGTATCGGACCGACTTTTATCTATAAATATTAATTACACTCTCAACCGATCCGATCTGAATTGATACATTTGGACGTATTTTGTCACTCTGTTCGCAACGTGATTATCGTGTTGGAATTTTTTTTTTTTTTTGTCGAGCACGGGACACTTTAACCCTGGACGGTTTTTTTTCCCGTGCTCACACGCACACGCGGGGCCCAAGCGTTAAAGGGGAGGGGCGTGGTTTTCGGTTTACACGCGCGTCGGTCGTATACCCGTAGACCGTTTATCTGACACAGCCGAGCAGCGGTCGTTGCTCTCGTTCATCTAAATGTAGGTCAGTAATGAGGCAACGACCCTGGACGACCCCGCCGCCGCCGCCCTCGCTGTTTGAAAAAAAAAAAATTAAATACCGAAAAAAAAATGTATACCGCGAATGTCCGATGCCGTTTATTTGCGACAATAACAATACAATATTTATATATATATATATATATACATATAAACACGTAACGTTACCCCATTTAAAGCGACGTCAGCGATATAACGTTATTATTATTACTATTATTACTGGAAATTGATGATTTTTCGATTATTCCAAACGCGTAACGTACTGCGTTCACCGCGAATTTTTCGATAGTAAAAAAAAACAAAAAAAACAAATTATTTTATTCTCGACTAGGAGGCAATAATGGTGGTATGTATTGTTATAAGCGTTGACGCGCGACAATTGATTATTACTGTTACTGAGCTGACTCGACGAAAAAATTGTTTGGAAAAAATTCGCCCCGTCTGGCGAGTAGTAGTGGCTTTTTTTATTATTATTATTATTATTATTATAAGAAAGTATAAGGATCCAACGATACGCCAACGAACAAGGCCAAGGCCGCCGCCGGCCGGACCGGTTTCTCGTGTGCGCAGTTCGGTAGCGGTTTTTTCAGCTGTTTAAATGCGGTATTGTTTCTTTCTTCGGCCATTAACCGCCACCGGGCAGATTATATAGTTCATCAATCGGTTATAATATAGTATGTACATACAGCACAGTACAATAAAGCGTGCGTAAAATTCGACTAAACGGCCAAAACTCAAGTCCGAAAAAATCGTGTGAATTTTATAGGACGCTTGAAATTATCAAATATGTACATTGCTAAAAATATCTATTGTAATTTCGGAAAACTTTCTGCGCGTCAATTATTTATGCATACAATCTGTTAGTTTTCTTTCACTGTTAATACAATATTTAATAGGTTGTCGTTAAAATATAACAGAAAACAAAATTACTCGGCAGACTCTTTGTTAGTTAAATTCGATGAGTGTATTTTGACAAACAAAAACAATAGGTATAGAATCAGTACACATTAACAGGTTTAATTTATTTTCAACAAATATTATGTTTAAAAAAAATAACTTGAAATGCAACTGTATTCTAAACGATTTGATATAATACAACAATCGTACGCCTAATATTATACAATATAAATGGAAAGGTATTGTAATTACATTTTTCTGTAGAGATAACACTTAAAAAGGAAATTGTTTAATGACGTTTTATCTTACAATACCAAAACCATTTAACTAATATTAAAACGCTATTAGCCAATTTTTTATGAAAATAAATCTCGGGATTAAAAAAAGAGAAAAAAAAGCAGCAACTGTGTAATAACAAAACCCCGACGAAATTCGTATTTACAGTTATAAAAACAAATCCAAACCTAACGCAACAAAACCCAATTTAAAATTTCATTTCCATTTACTATTTGAATTATTTGTAAATATTTGACGTGAAGAGAACCAACGTAATACAAGTGACGTTTTTGTCAAAAACCAATTTATGATTTTACAATTGTCGTCAACGAAACTAAAATTTATTTGTGTTTGTTTTAGAATTGTTTATTGATTTTTGAAAACATATATCGTAGAAAACTAATAAACGTGTAGAATAAATCATTTTCACCATGCTCTTTTGTAAATGTTATAAAAGATACACTAAAACAATACTTCGTCTATGTATATTGGGTATAATATCAAACAAAACGACGAAAATCAAAACGCGAAAAGGACATTCCGTTATTTTTCATCCGGTTATTGTAATAGATAATAAAAAAGTGCATCGTTTATAGGCGTGTTCGTTCTAAGACTTTCTAGAAGTTTAACGATATTTCCACCGTTAAAAGATATCTAGGGTAATAACAACTTCCTACGGTTAAAAACAAAAAAAACTCTACTAAAAAACGTGCTCCTCCGAACCACAATTTTGGCAACGATTTGGCGACAGGTATGATTTTTGACCTTACAATCGAACATTATTATACAATATAATAATATATAAAACACGCCGATTTGGTGAGTAAACACGTTTATTATCTCTCTTCCTCGCTATCTGTCTATATTATCTCTCTTTCTCTCTCTCTCCCTCTTTGGTTGCCAATTAATGCCTGCACCCAACACACACACACACACACTACACAGTATAGAACCGACGACGACCATGGCGGTCGTTGAACTCAAAACACGCACACCCGCCCTCACTTCGCCGCGGCCGCCTTAGCACCTCTCCGATCGCACAGCCCAAGTCGCCTCTGCTCTATAAATACACAAAACTTTCAATGACTTATAATATTTCTAATTATTAAAAAAATATTCGACTCAATCTATCCGATGCGTGGACGCGTTTCCGGGGTGAATATAGAACAGGGATGAAATCTAATATATATATATATATATATAATCTACACGTGATATGTTTAAACTAACTAGGAAATAGTATTGAACGGTATTCGAGATGGAAGTCGACGTTTTTACGATAACCAATTATTTGTCATGGCTCGAGTAGACGACCGGGTTACTGCATTCCTACCCCCTCGCCCTGCATCGAGATTTTCGACGATAAAAATAAAATGGCAACGTAAACGGACTTATTTAAATGAGGCATTGACGAGGCGGCCATTTTTCGAATTGATAATAACATAATAAAGTGGGGGGGGGGGGGATACGTGCGATAACCTGGTATATATTAACGCCATGCAATTTATTAATATCGCTATTATTATAAATTATATTCACCTTGGACCTTTGACTGTTATAATATTATATATCCGGTACAAAAGCTCCTCCTAATAGTGTACCTACACACCGCGGTAAAAAAATATATATCGTCAACTCGAGAAAAATCTTATCTCAATTTCGCGTGCGCCAAAAAAAACGCGTTCGAGTGTAGCGCTAACATGATTACAATATGAATGGCGACTACACCTTTTATACCTGCATGTTGTACATCATATCACAATATAACAAACAGTTGTCGTTTGATAAATATTAAACGACAACCTAATGCAAAAACATTCGATCCGAACGGCTCAAACTCGGCGAAAAACGTATTTTTTTAGATTTCACCGCTAAAATGTGTAATAAATCGAATTTTCCGACTTGGGGTGCCGGGACAGTAGGGGGGGGGACTTTTTTATGAACGCGATACGACTTCGAAAAAACGGCCACTCTGCGTTTGTTTTTTTTTTTTAGCGATTTCGTTACACTCTTCGAAGGTAGAAAACTTTCAACGTGACCGGCAAAATGGTATGCGATAACCGATAACACACGGTTTTCGGGTTTGGCGGTTTTCTGGACAAACAAAAAAAAACAAAAAAAAAACCTTATCGCCCTGTCTACGGCGATCTTATCTAAACGGGCTAATATCATAACATTTCGTGTTGTACTTACATTTGAACGACGTACGCCGGCATGGTGAGGATCGACGGCTGCAGCTCTTTTTTTTTTGGTCCGGTGTAACGACGAAATATGTATAAAAATATAATATTTTTATATATTCGTATACCGTGTATACAGTGTGTGCTAATTAACGGCGGTAATTCGGCTTTTCGTTTCCAACGAAATCCTTCTACGTGGTGTCGGCAAACGGCTGGTAAGCGAATCGAATTCGGAATCTTAGCCGTCGCAAATGTCGCCACTCACGAGCGCCTTCACGCCCGATCATCGTGTGTATAATGGACGGTAATAGTAAATAATATAATTGTTGATATTATGTTTGTGTGTAAAATCTACAACGACGATAGCCGGGGCGTGATAAATTTCGGCACGGGATTTCCGACGTTCTCCGCGGAGCGAACCTTGAAAACAATAGATAACAAAAAAAAAAAAAATCATAATAATATAAACGCGAGAAAAAAAATCTATATTTGTGTAAAATGAAAAAAAAATTACATGTATACCTAAAACAAAAAAAAACACTGTCTACGGTTTTTTTAATTTTCGTCACGCGCTTTTTATCCGGTCTATCCCGCAACGCCCGACACCGATAGATAACGCGGGTTATACATAATATATATTATACACATACTATGCTATGGTGCTTTCTATATTATGTCTAGCGAGGAAATTTAATACAAAAACATTATTATACCGTTGTAGGCGAATAAAAATAATCGTACTTTCGTAAAATATATATATATATGTATAAATATATGTATATTTTTAAAAATTTTTAAATCTGTAAATATATATATGTATATATATATCTATATGCCTATATATTTTTATAGATAATATTTTCGTTGGACGTGCGTGCGCCGGATAGATCGGACAAATAATGACCGGCGGACGCTTTTCCGCGGTTACCGCAATAGCGGTCACTCCGGGGCGGTTGAAAATCCAAAAAAAACCACACGATTTCGGATTCGCACCAAAAATTTGAAAAAATTATTAAAAAAAAAATCCACAGTTTATTACCTCACTGTAAAACGGTAAAAAAAAAAAAAAAAATCAAAAACAATAACAAACGACACTCCGGACGCGTTTGAATGAATAACGATTTAATTTAATTTAAATTTATATAAAAAAAAAAAAAAAAAAACTTGCACGTATTAAAAATAATATAGCAACGTTGGCGATGTTTTTTTTTTTATCGGCTGTTATCGGTCGAATATTACATTACGAAATACCACGGTCGACGGGACGAAAAACGGCGGCGGCGGCGGCGGTTTCGACGTCGGCGGGATTTCGGCGGGACGACGGTCGGACTGTGCGACGCGGTAGAGACGCGGTCGCGAGCTGATGCCGGCGCAAACTTGGGAGCCGGGCGGCAGCGGTCCGAGCGTGTGCTGCGAATGTACGCGGACGGCGGCGACGGGGTGCGCGCGCACGGCGGGGCAACATGTGCCAACAGTTATCGCCGGTCGTTGACCTCGGCCGCCGCCGCCGCAGCCACAGCCGCAGCCGCGCAGCGCGCGCGTTTATGCCATTCATTATACAATAATATATATATATATATATATATATATATAATATACATATATTATTATTAGTTATTACGCACGTTAGGGCTTATATGGTTGATATGAGTTGTATTGGTAGTAAAAAAATCCGTCCGTCGAATCGGTTCGAACCGTTTTTGGTGTTTTTCTGAATGAAAGCTTACAACGCGCGCGAGACCTGGACACGGTGACGAGGGGCAGAGAAGAGGGCCGTTTTTTTAGGGGAGTCTTGATTTTGTCATTGTTTTCTGGATAAAATACACGATTTGTCTTTTGATAAATAAAAAGCTATAGCCAAAAAAAAAAAAACGGAACGCACTGCGCAAAATCCAGCACAGCGCGATCGGAGCGTAGTGGAGACAAAAGATGGTGAAGGCGGTGTTGTGATAAAATCTCACAAAAACGGTACAACGAAACCTGTGGAAATATTAAATATCGATAAAAATCATTGCTAAGGCAATGATAATATGCACGAAATTGTACCCGTAGGTGCATCGTAATTAACAATATTATAATGAACGTGTTATGCAGATACCTGTTGACTGTTGATTCGTTTACACATAGCAACATGGCACGAGTGTGATTTTCTTTCTTATTTTGAGGGGTTTTCCTTGATAAAAAAAAATATTCGACTATAGTTTTTTTTTTTTAAAAAACTGCATGTGTTATAGTCCCACTTTATTCTGATTTCCATTTCTCAAGTCCCAAAACTACGCTCGAAATGTGAAGTAAAGAAAAACATTGCCCCCTAGGGTTTCCTTTGGAGGGAAAATGTAATCATAGATATGTTTTTATACTCGAGAAGATGAGTTCACACGATCGATAATTCAATGAAAAAATTGTATATTAGATCTACTTTTCAAACCTCAAGTCCTGAAACTACACCAACCAATGCTCAATGAAGGAAAAGTATCTACTCCTCTCTATTGAAAGAGTTAGTGGTGTAATTTTGGGTATTAACGGTATATCAGTAATACTATACATCTAAAATAATATTTCACACAAGTTTTTAAAAGTAATTAGTCCATTTTAAAAAAAGTTATAACGCGCTGTACTCTTAAGACAAAGCATGTGTAATTGTTAAAGGTGTTTTTTTTTTTTGAAGAAGAAAAGAAGTGAACTTTTTTAATTGTTTAATCGGTTCAGCGATTTAGAAGACACAAATATATAGGCCGACACAAAAAAAAAAATTTTAAAAAACGTCATTGTAAAAACAATACCTTTTCAGCACCATATCGTAGGTAAAACAATATATCCACTGTTAAACGAGACCTAACTAATAAAATTTACCTTGAGCTGTTTTTTGGCTAAAAAAAAAAAATATTATAAAGAAACCGAAAGTTAAATGTTTGAAATACGATTTACACAAATGCGATTTTAATAAAAGCCCGTTGCTGTTTAACATTAACATTTATTTATACTTACTAGGAAATATCATATTTGTTTAACATGGTAAAAAAAGTCTATATAATATTCGTTTTGACGTGAAAACTAATGAGAGTCAAACAACTGCCAGAACTTTGGACATTATAGTTTTTTGAGTAAGTATACATCGTTAATTGTACATGATATAGAAACGTTGATAGAAACACACCACAAGTAGTTCACGTGAGTCCGGCGTGTAAAAGACAAATTCAATTTTTTTTTTTTTAGTAAGCCAAAAATATAAAGAAACAAGTTTATATACGTAACGACGACGAGGTACCGTCAGTGATATCCGGTCGAAAATCTCGGTTAAACTAAACATACTAACCAAAAGCGGCGGTCACCCTTTTTTTTTACATATGTATGTATGTGTAAACAAGTCTCAAATTAATAGTTATAATGTTAAATAAAACGTTTTTTCGTTATCAAATGTAAAAAAATTAAGTTGTCGTACTGCTTATGGGAATAGTATTTAGGCCTTTAATGTGCATCTACTCCAACTGTAAATTATTCACATGTGTAAATTCCTCTGTTTGAACTACATACATTCCGAACACTGACCGGAATAAGAGTAAATAAATATACGAATATTACTAAAATTCGAATTCCACAGTGTAACTTCAAAGGGAGAGGGGATTGTCAAACTCTCGAAACTTGTCCTTTTAACGCACATCCCTTTGTCAATTAATTGTTATTAGTGGGCGATGGACAGGCACGTAGCTATTAAAGATATTATTTTTTTTTTCCAGGCTGAAACCAAACTTAGGGAGCTTTTGACTCTTCATTGACGTATACATTAATTCGTTTTTCAAATTAAAAATAATTTTCAGAAAATGTTGACTGGTCGATGACCAATTTTGAGTCATTACCATTAAATTGATCAAAATTCAAAACTTAGGACGGAAGGTGGATTGCGGTTGAGTACAGGGGTTAAAGTGGGGGGACGCAGGGGGACTCAGTCCCTCTACCTCTAATGGTGGTTAAAAAGTGTCCCCTTTAACAAATTATTCGTAAGGTACACCGTACCGCTCCAATTATAACCAAACATTAGTCAATATAATTCAGAATTCCATTGAGATTAAATCTTGGTTTTTATTTTTTTATCGATTGTTACTTTACTTTTATCAAATGTATTTAATACAAATTATGGACTATCTAATATATGTGTAAAAATAATTGATTTTATTAGTTATTGTAAATGGCTTTACTGGGATAAATAGGTAGGTTAGGATAGGTATTCGATTAGCCCATAAGTAATAACATATATACAGGTAAAGTGTGAATGTGTGATTTTTTAAGCATGCTCACCCCACCATGCGTAGAATTTGAATTTTTTCTTATACAATTTAAAGCACTAAAAACACTACATTTTTATGATGTATATATTTTTTGTCTGGGTGATTTTTTTAGTTTTCTTAAAAGACAACCAATACTTACAACTTAATATTATAAGAAAAAATATTCTCTTTCAAAATGTTAAATTTTTATAAAACACGAGTTATTCTTAAAAATGTTGTATTATTTGTGATTTAAATTTTGTATGAAAAAAATTACAAATTTGAACATTATTCAGGGATAAAAGTGGGATGAGTATGTTACACAATCACTGTTTCTATATTACATATACTATATGCATTGGACATTATACATAAAATTATATATGCAACGCTTTAAGCTATATGGAGACATTAGTCCCCCCCTGTAATTTTTTCCCACTTTAAGCCCTGGTTGAGTATTGCGCGCATATGAAAATAATACTACACTCCTCCATCCCTCTTAAAGCGAATTAAAATTAATTTAATTCGTTTCTAATCTCGTTGCACAATCAAGGGAATTGTTTCTTGATACATTAGTTATGTTAATTTTCATCGAAGATCTAATAGTTGTTTTGGACTCTCATGTTGTTGTATTGATAATAATTGTACCGAGTATGCGTCCAAGACTGGAATATGAATGAATGACAACCGGGGTCATGAATTTAGCTTTCTTGGGGGAATAACACTAAACTGAACTTGTAAATTATCACCTCTCACCTATTATGGTATCTACCAGGATTGTGATAGTTCGTACAACTTAGATTATCATGACACGTCGTATAACATTGTGTACATAAAAAAACAGAACGCACTGCACATCCTAGATCTAATTGTAGGTATACCTATAGCCTATCGACTAAGCAAAATATGTATGACTAAATTATTATGCATACAAAAAAAAAAAAACGTTAAATGTAAAAAGATAATTTATTCTCCAAAGCAATCTCAAAGTGAACGATTACCGTTACCCGTTTTAATTTTTAAAGTGTACATATTACTGAAGGAGAAACGGTTTTGTAAAATGGTAGATATTATTGGGCATTTTTCGAAAACGTTTGTTTGTTATTCGTTTTTCTTTTATAAATAATATACCTAATAAGATGATAAGTAATACTTCTAAAGAAAATAAATGTATGTCATTCTTAAAAAAAATACTATCCATCGGGCCTTATTAACTAATGCCCTCCTAATTTGTATTTCATAAAATGCAAAAAAAAAAATGTGATACCCGACGAATCGATTCGTAATAGCAGAGAACAAAATAATTTTGTTTTACTTTAAAATGCGTCAACTAAACATTTTCAAACCCAAGCCCTGAAATCTTGTTATCATTCTCAGGACTATTATAATACGTATTGTAGTTATTTGAAGTATTTTATTTTTTATTTTCATAAGTAGGTTTTTTATTATTTGTAATAATACTCGAAACGCCATCTGCTGGAAAAACTTGTTTACAACGAATTCAGTTAAACAAAGAACACGCTGTAGTTGAAGTTTATTTCAATTATAGGAAGGAACATTGTCAAAAATAGGAAACATTTCAGGAGAGGGGGGGGGGGGCTGAGACCCATTAATATATGTATATGGGATATTCTACGACAAGTCGTACTCCAATTGCATCGGTTTATTTTCTGAAATTCTACATACACTTCGTACCTACTCATCTGAAATTAAACAATATTTAATATTAGTTTTTAAAAAAAAAAAAAATACTCCAAACCATGTTTACGTGATATAAAGTTTTGAAAATTGATTAAGTAATTTTTCAATTGTTTTTAACATTCTGGAAATGTTGTTAATAACAACAAACTTTCAACTAAATATTTAACATAGATTTTTTGATTTATGCAAAAGAGACACCAAAATTTAACTTGCGATTTAATCTTATCATAGGAATACCGAATACTATTAAACCAAATATTGGCTTAAATAATAGCTCATTTATATTTGTGTTTATAAAAATAGTAAATAAACGATTATTTGTTGTCAAAAACCTAACCATAATATTTAATAACGATATTGTTATTAATGTTTTGAGGCTGCAATGGACTGCAATAATATGTAAGAATAATATGTTATACATATTACTTTACCTAAAGTACGGTGGTTTGAAGGTAACAGGCGAGACAATAAAAAAAAAAATATTAAACTATAAATGAATTATTGACTAAGTGCAACAAAAAAATGAACAACATATTAAATTAGAAGGCATGATTAGCATAATACTTGCGCATGCAACTTATAACTTAGGTACTTAGTAATGTTAAATTGTAATTAAAATATCTCTTATAATCTGTGTAGCCAGGCCAAAATTAGGAATAAATAAAACTTGGGTCAAGTATCAAATTCTTATAGTACATAAATAGAAAACTCTTTTGAATTTTTTTATTTTGGTCCTAAAATATTTGTACTTATTCTAAATTCTTTTACAATAATAAAATATTCCTTCCTTCGATAAAAAAAACGCAATTTTGGCGCGACTTTTGAAATCTGCAACACAGTTGGTCATGCTGTATTTTTTTAAATTTCATAATATAATAAATACTACTATATTTGTTTTATTTTTCAATGGTGGTGACACTGACCATTGACGATAGTGTTATTGTTTACAAATTTTTATCACAACATTTTGATAAGAGTAAAGAGACCGACCCGGACCCGGTGTTTTATGACTTACTTTAAACCATGCCGTAAGTTGAGCGATATAATATGTTTTTTATGTTATTACATGAGCCAAAAAAAAAAACAAAACGTAATATACTAAAAATTTAATTAGAAAGAATTTACATATTGTAAGCGTAAAATTACAAATTTTTGGTAAAGACACAAAATGGCAAAACATCATCCAGACTTGATATTTTGCCGAAAACAACCAGGCGTCGGTAAGTAAGATAAGAAAACTAAAAAATAACAAAAATTATTGTTTAACTAGCAATGAATGTAGTATTGATTTTTCTTTTTGATAGCTATTGGCCGTCTGTGTGAAAAATGCGACGGAAAGTGTGTTATTTGTGACTCGTACGTCCGACCGTGCACGCTAGTCCGGATCTGCGACGAATGCAATTACGGTTCGTACCAGGGCCGTTGTGTTATATGTGGTGGCCCCGGAGTGTCTGACGCATACTACTGTAAAGAATGTACTGTCCAAGAAAAGGATGTGAGTTGAACTAAAAAATGATGTGCTTTACATTTTTTTTCGCTATTATATTATATTTTGATTTTGCAGAGAGACGGATGTCCAAAAATAGTCAACTTGGGTAGTTCGAAAACCGATCTGTTTTATGAACGAAAAAAATATGGATTCAAAAGACGGTAGCAGATTTTATGTTGTTTTTTATGTCATATTATGTTGATGTTTAAAAGTATTTTTTTTTTTTTTCATGACGAATTATTACAAAAAATATTTATTTTAAATACATTTAAAGATATTACACACATTGACAAAAATAAGGCTAATATTTAGTTATAAACTTGATTTTGCCAATGACGACTGCACTTAATGTACCAATGTATTTATTTTAAACAATTTTCATAAAACTAAGCTAAAAGTACTTGGATGCCATAATAAGATGAGTAATGTAAAACTTTTTAATTTTGTATTTACAACATTACTTTTATATGTTTTAAACTGTTTTTGCAATTTTATTTTTCGCTTAAACTTATTTTTCTGTACTGGCTTTTTTTTTCTGTGTGATTAGAAAACTAGATTTTCATTGCAAGTCAAAATTTTCTAAATAAATATTAAGTCTTCACTTTACAGTTGTCATAATAACAGATTTTGACTTTTACCAAATGAATTCAGTAACATCTTCTAAGAACTATTGTTTAACTATCGTTTAACTATCTTACAACATACCTTTTTAAAGTATTTACTTGTAAATTTACATTGAAATAAGTTGTATTATAATTGTTTTTGTTTTTAAATATATATCATAGCCTTTGTTTTAAAAATGTAATTTTTGTTATTATAGTATAGTAGTAGCTATAGTGCTGGTTTGACCTTTTTTTTTAACTGGCGTACTTTATTATTAGAATGGGATTGTTTTTTTATTGATTTCAAACCTTTAAGTGTAGTTGCTGCAGCGTTTTAAAGTATTTATTATGAAATACTCGTGTTAGTAACAATATTAATAATTAATTACTTTTAAGTATTGTGATAAGTTTCACATTTTCTGCACATTAGGGATTGTACTCATGTAATTTTTTTTTTTATTAATTAAAATATTGTATTATTAGGCAAAAGATATATGCATAAAGTTTGAATTCGTTTTAGTCTACTTGGAATTAATAAAAAATAATAGTTAATGTTATGAATAATATGTATGTATTTATAATTAAAAATTATTAGTTTTTTTTTGTTATTTCTTGGTAAAATATTATTAATATAATTTATGTTGAAATGTATTCTTGTTACTTAACGACAAAAATGTATGTTGTACAACCACTGATTACAATCCACATTACAATTATTCACAGACTTGAAAAAAATTATCCATAAAAGATTGAAATTAATTAGATAAAAGTATAAAAAATGAAAAATAATAAACAAGATAACATAAAATACAAATTATATTGTAGATAATAAATAAATTATAGTCTACGAATAATAAAACCATAATTAAACAATTTTTAGATTAGTAATAGTTTTTGAATTTTGAATGAAAAAAACCCACACAGATTTTAACGCTAATTTTTAGTTCAGCAGAAAATAGTATTTATGAGAAGTAATTAAAAAAAATTGTAGCTTATTTTTAAGTCGCTACACAAAAAAATATTTTTCCAGACTTTACAAAGAAACTGGACGTACCAGATAATAAAAACTTGAGTCCATATTTAGACAAATAGTCAGTTTAATGTTAATATTAAATTTATAACCAAAATAATGTAAATAATAAAATGATTATTTGCTGTATTTAATCTACAATTTAATTGAAAAAAAATCACTACAATAAATCATATAAATTAAAACACCAAATATAATTCTTAAAAACAAAATTAGTTGAATAAAAACAAAAAATAATTACACTTTTATTTGATCAAAATTAAATTGCAAACAAAAATTGTTGAAGTTATTTTTTAGTTTTTACTCAAGTAAATGTTATTTAAATAAGAATTTGATGATAATTTAAGTTGACAAATTATTTGAATAAAATACAGAAGTACAACTAATAAAATAAAATAAATACTTTTTTTGTCTTTTTTATTCGTAACGTTCAAGTGTTGTTAAATTATGGTATTATGTAGTTATTTAAATTATAACTAATATTAGATAATTCTTTTAAATATTATTTAAAAAAAATTATTTGTCGGGCAAAAACAAAAATGGATATTTGTGTAATTTTAACTAATTCAATATTTATAATATTATAGTCAATGCTATTACTTGTTATTTGACCAGGCTTGCTTATAATAAATTATATAATATTTCAATAATGATAGCACTGTACCGATAAGGATGTTATAATCGATTATTGTTTACAGCAAATATGATTTTGATTAGAAAATTCTATCTGAAAGACAAGTCTTACAAATTACAAAAAAAAAACTGTCGAAAAGCAAAAGCATTTATTTTTTGTTTTAAAAGCGTATCAAATTTTGACTATAAAAATTTGTGGTAAAGACACAAAATGGCAAAACATCATCCGGACTTGATATTTTGCCGAAAACAGCCAGGCGTCGGTAAGTATATTGTTTAAGAAAAAAAAGAATGAAAGTTATTGTTCACTATTAAAATAATATTATTATTTTCCTTCATATAGCTATCGGCCGCCTGTGCGAGAAAGACGATGGCAAATGTGTTATTTGCGACTCGTATGTGCGACCGTGCACGCTAGTTAGAATCTGCGACGAATGCAATTACGGTTCGTACCAGGGCCGTTGCGTTATTTGCGGTGGTCCCGGAGTGTCTGACGCTTACTACTGTAAAGAATGTACTATCCAAGAGAAAGATGTAAGTAGACCGAAAAATAACACAAATATATAAAGTAACGCATTTTGAGGACGAGTCAAACGTTAAATGTGTTTATAAAGTATATATTGGTCTATAATGTGTTAAGGGACTATGTCTAGATGATAAATCAAAAACACATTTTTCTTTACAATTAATTACACTTCCATATTCATTGTTTAATGACCACTGAAGGTTGTTCAAAATAATTATATTTAATAATCATTTTTTGCGAGTTTCTTAAACAATTTTTTTTTTTTAAATAGACATAATATAATTAGTTTTTGTTTTTGAAAATATTTCCAATATAGGCTTGTTTGGATCAACCACAATTTCTGAAAAACTGCTTAATAATATTAAAAAAATAGAATTTCCTATAAAAAAAAATTTTTATTGTTCAATGACCAGGAGAGTTGAAAAAAAAAATTGGATAGTTATTTAAAAATATTTTGTGAGCAGGTCAAAAACAGTCATATTTAAAAAATGGCAATATTTTGTTAATTTTCAAATATTTGTAAAAACATTTTTTTTATAAATCATTTAAAATAAATAAAAATTCTAGATAAAATTTTTTTTTTTTCCGAGAAAGAAGTTTCTGTCCCTTTCGGAGACAGGTTGCTTATGAACAATCAAGTGCTGGTCTGGCGAGTATGAGTGCGTGCAACACACTACGGCTTTATACACTCGGCCACTTGTTCACATTATAGTTTCCACTAAAATAATAAGGAAATTATTAATTATTATTTTTTTATGCAGAGAGACGGATGTCCGAAAATTGTCAACTTGGGTAGTTCCAAAACCGATCTATTTTACGAACGCAAGAAGTTTGGATTCAAGAGACGGTAGCGCTGTGTATACTTTTATATTACCTAATTATATTATTATGTCATTCCTTTTTTTTTTTTAACATTAATAATATAATAAGTGTATTTAAATAAAAATAAGTAATTTTACAATATTATGTACTACTGAAAAACAAAGGTGTAAAATTTAATCTTAAAGTCGATTCAAAATATAAAGTTTTGTATTTTTTTTTCAGTAATATCTACATTTTTTTTCTCGCGTAATAGCAATTGATCGAGTACTCATCGAATAATGGATCTTTTTTCACCACTCCATACCAATACCCGATTTCTACAAGTAATGAAAAAACACTAACTACGTATCCAGCCACTAAAACTACCAACGCTCCATAAAGTTTCCTCAAGTCCATTAGCGCTTTTATTTCTTCAAACTTTTGTGGTGCTTCCAGTATTATCGTGTCCAGCATCACGTCATTTAGCCATTTCTCTACTAAACCAGCTTCGATGACTCTTCTCAAAAATTTATCCACCGCTGGCTTTATCGGTGAATTTTTTTGTAAGCCCAACGAAATTGGCATGTTAATTATACAGTTTGACATAATGTGCAATGTAAAATCACCACTCCTCGTACTGTTTAACGTACCTGAATCAATACAAATGATGATATCGTTAAACATGAACCGTAAAAATGTAATACCTATAAAATAGAAAAACTAACCATTAATTGACTGTTGATATTGTTCGTACACTTTAGTTTTTTGCAATACTTTCAAATACCGCAGGAAATGAATGTTGTCGTAGTAAGCAAACTGGCCTTTAGAAACACGTTCGATCGCCCCGCTGACATCGTAGACTTCTTGAAACTTTTGACCGATTCGTTGGCCGGTTTTGTCCAAAGAAGTCAAAAAGAATTCTTTCGACTGTTCACCCCAGCCACCGCAGTCGACGTTGCTATCAGCCAACGCTTCCAAAGTGTCTATTGTTATTCTGGTAAAGTCATTTCAGTCGGATTACTAAAATAGGTGACAATAAGATGGTAATAATATATTTTAAGATTGATAACCTTGTGTCCGGGTTAGCTAGGATGGCAGTCATACTCGCTTTGTAAGCCACAGTGACCAGCAAGCAGTACATCCACCACCAGCCGGTCAGAATACGAATAGCCCATCCGCTTGGAACTTGCGGCAGCGATACAGCCAACAGCATGCCGTACGTGTACAGTATGCTATTGCCGATGTTTTCAAACAGATACAAACCGATCACATTTTTTCTGTTTGGCCGCAGATCTTCTTTTGGTTTTTTAACGTAACTTATGACAAAAGCACTTTGCTCTGTTAGGTTTTCCGGTTTTCTGAACAGAGATTTTATCTTGTCGATTGCGTGGACGGCATATTCTTTTACATGTGAAAACGTTTTTTTTTCAAACGTCGTAGGCTCAGTTTGGCTTTCGACGGGTCCTTCGATCCTTTCACTGTTTTCTATACGTTTATGAGCCGTCGCCAATGCATAAAATAAAAATCCACCGACGAACAGAGTAATGATTACACCGACCCACATGTTCAATCTAAACAATGGAATTATAATATGAACAGGGTTTACTATAAGAGGGAAATTGCGTATAGAAACTATAACTTTTGATCATGTTACAACAGGAAAATAATTTGAAATTTTACAAGGAAGCTAAACAAATAGTAATAGTTTGCAAATGGTTAGTATTACGCAAATCATTGAGAAATAAGAACAATTATGGTTTTCCTTAAAACTTGAAAAAGCGTATATACTGTTTTACCGAAAAAAGGAATAATTTTAGGCACTTTAAAATGACGAACATTGTTCATAGTGAAGAATTAAAAGCAATAGTTAAGAAAGTTTGTGACGACATAGAAAACATCTCCAATGGAAATTCATCAAGGTTTTAATTCTATACTTGTTTTTCTTAGCAATAGATAAACTTCCAAAGTATACTCATGGCGAGGTGTTACTTGTTTGGCGATACAAGTGAGGAAGATAGAATAGAAGCGGTTGTGTGTCAGACTGCACTAAATAAGATAAAAGTAAAATGAAATCGAGAATGTAGGTTTAAAGATGAATGCGTGGAGTAACTACGTTAGACAGAATTAGTAATGGGTGATATTTTGAGTGTATTACACAAAAGGAGTTTAGAAGTGAGGTCAAATGCAGGGAAAATCAGAGAGATTAGATTCAGAAGGATTGGCCATGTTTATAGAAGAGTAAAACGAATCGGAGTATTTTAGAGATGGAGATGGAGGCCGAGAAAGTAAGTCCTAGAAACAAGATTAGTCATTAACTTTCTTTACGTACTGGAAGGGAAGTATTAGCGTTTTCCAAGAGTTATTGGTTTTTGACTCGAACGCAAGGAAAGTCAAGCATTCGGTGTTGTACGGTATGGACAAGTCCAGAATGTTCAGGTGATAAGGAGTGTAGTGTAGGTTGCCTAAGGCTAGGTCGGCTCGACCTGACCACACTTCGCCCAACAACCCCGAGATAGTGCCGTTAAGTTGCTTTTTTCCCCACTGCTCTGTACGCCAGTTGATCGGCTCGTAAATGAACGGAACGAAGTTCATAGCACTGCCAAGCGATTTTAGTACCTACGGCAACAAGTAGATAAACACATAATGTTAGCTCAAAAAGTTCATAGTGCACGCCAATGACAGAAATTAAAAGGGGAGCGGATTAAACGCTTTAAATATTTAAGTAGCCACCCTTAGAAATACAAAATAATAAGCTTTATTCTTTAAAACAAGCTTGCATTGTCTTTATATTAAAAAAAATTGGCCACGGGACCTCGAAAATGGACCTTAACTGGTGTCCGATCACTAATCGTATCCGAAATGTACTTTGTAATGCCAAAAGTTAAACAATTTTACACGTTGAAACGTACACATTTTTCAACTAAAAAGTAGGAACGCTATAACTGTTTGAGAAATGATCGAATTAGTGCCTAACTTGTGTGACATATTCTTTAGCTGACATACCGAATACGGATGTACAGAAAATAACCAAGAAAAAATCACCAGATCGTTCCTTTCGAAGGAGTGGAAACTTTTAAAATGTTTTAGGTATTATCTTGAGGTCTGGAAAAAAAATATAGTTTAAAAAAACTAAAAAACACGCTTTAATAGTAAAATAAACTAAAATGTAGAAAATAATTTTCAATATAGTAATCAATTAATAAAAAATAAATAGTATTATTGTGAAAAAAGCGTGGGGTGCTACATATATGAGTTCTTGAAAAGCGCCCCACACTTTTTTCACAACAATACTATTTATTTTTTATTAATTGATTACTATATTGAAAATTATTTTCTACTTTTTAGTTTATTTTACTATTTAAGCGTGTTTTTTTAAACTATATATTTTTATTTTCCACTTTTTAGTTCGATGTGCTTTAAAATCGTGTTTTTTAATTTATTCTAGTACATACGTGTCTCTATTGCTTGAAAACTTCAGGTAATCAACAATGAATACACGCATGTACGTTCGGTTGCCCATCTCGTTTTAGTTACATAGTTACGTACGTACAAACAAGTGAAGCTAATGTAAGCGTGTTAATAAAATCGGATGGCAGGTAGGTCTAGCGTGAACGTAGTATGATAATAAATACGATTTTTCCAAAAATCCGTTGTCAACGTTTTTTTGTATTAAAAATTATAATGCTACCTAGTCGTAGGAGTCACTTCACTGAACTGCATTTATTTGTGCAGCCAACAGTGAGTGGTGATCGACAAACGAGCATGTACCTCAATTTCTAAGCCACTAGTGTAACCGCTGGTCTGGACGTCGTCGTCTGCCAATGCTGTTTTTATCGCCGACGGCATAAAGTCGAACGTGGCCACTTTCAACGAGTACCCTTGCAGGTCCGACACCTTATCCCTGTACAGATCGATCTGCTTCTGGAATTTTCTCCTGCTCCACAGGTCCAGCCTGAGCGTGACCAGGGCACCTTTGGCCGGCGCCGGATAGGGTACCGTGGACAGTTCGTACATTTCCTTTTGCCTGTACTTCTTGATGAACACCACGTTGATGATTTTCGTCCAGAGCGTGTAGTGCTGTTTGGCGAATAGCCTGCGGTCGTGCAACAACATAAACTTGGTTTTGGAATCCAACATTCTGTGCCTGAACAAAAGAGATATTGTCACGGTACTTGAAAATATATATAAAATTAACAGACTACTCGGTTTAGCTACAAATGGATGACTATAATAAACCCCCGTCGTATTACGATTTTGTGCAAACTGCATTTCAGATCAAAGTAGTACATAGAATTTGGCGAGCATATACTCGTTGAGTACTCGAATGCGAACAATACAGTTCAGATATTTAAGGAGCCCGCTCTGACAGCACAGATGAATAATATCGCGTGTCTTTGTAGAGAAGCCCGAGCTGAGAGACTCCCGCGTAGCTTCTATTTGGCTCCTAAATAATTGTTACCGAACTTTTCGGAGGACTCTTGTCATGAACCCCAAACAGCTACTGTGATTATTAATAAAGTCTCTTTAGTCGAACTTATTAGACAGGTACTTACTTGTCGTTGAACTTCAAAAGCCTCGTTACTTGGTCGGCGTTCAGTATTAATATAATGTTCATGTCACATCCTTCTTTTCTCACCTGGTTCAGCATTTGCCACGTCTGATAGTTGGGTGACATCAAGTCCTCGGAATCTTCGACCAACGTCTAAAAAAATGCACCAACCACAAATGGTCATATTTATGAAATCGACCGGTCAAGTTCACACGTTTCAACTGTTTAGTACTTACTTTGAAAACCGGCACACCGGTGACGGCCGAGTAAAATGACTTGCCCAAAATATTGTTGTGAAAAGGGTCGAGGATCAAGTTTACGCATGTGGCCTTGTTTTTCCACTTGTCGGCCAAATCGACAGCTAATTTTTCAAATTCCGAATTCCACTTGGAGTCTTTATAAAACCTGACGGGAAAAATAACTTTTTTTGGTGACAGCCGACAGTAGGTATATATATATATATTTTTTTTTTTGTAGGTAGAACAGATCAATTTATTTTTTAAAAGTGTCAAAAATCATAAACATTACTTATAACAAACTTAGCGGAGGCAAACCTAAACGAATTTTGCCTTCCAAAATGCAACAAAAAGTGATTAATAAATAATAACACAGTACCACATTATTTTGGAGCAAGAACCGAAGTTAACTTTTCTTGTTGAATCTGCGTCAGAGTTCAACTAGTTTTCTCTAGTGCATGTAAATCTCTTTTAAATCGCCTCCAGTTGTAAAAAAATATAACTGTAGTATTTTTATCGTAGACATACTTTTAATTTTCTAAAAAACTTCAAATAAAGTAATTTTTTCTATTTATATATGCTAGATTTAGAATTAATAATGAATTTTTAGATTTTTATTAAATAAAAAAATTCTTTGTACAGTTTAATCAATCGAGTGAAAATTATTTAGCTAGGTATAAAACAATATGCAAAATACGCTATCTACAAAATGTCTCCTTTTATTTGAAACAAAATCCAAAGTAGGTTTATACATTTAAAATTATTTTTGGATGAATTTGTTTTTTTTTTATAATCGCCTTCAAAGTTGTTAGAAACTTACAAAACAAAAATCAAAAATTTCTAATTTATTTTTGTTCAAAAAAAAAAAAACTAAATAGGTTTTAATTGTACTTCAATTTTCAGACCCGGTGTTTTGTATTCAGTAAATAGAATAGAAATCAAAACTTATTTTAAATACATTTTCAAAAAATTATAGTTTCTTACAAAAAAACGTTGAAAATACCACAAGCTAAAGTTTTTTTTTTACAACTTTGGAAGCGGTTTAAAACTAATTAAAAAAAAAAAAACTAAATGTATTTTGGTTTTTTGTTTCCAAAAAAGTTAAATTTTATTATGATATCGTTGACAAAACTTAAACCTACTTTTGTCCAACGGAATCCGCTAAACACTTCGATCGGTTTTGTAAACCCAATTCGATTAGCACGTAAAAAGCTGTAAGAAAAAACATTTTTGCATTTTTATAAGGCCACCGCATACAACCGCTATGGACACTGCTCGTGATTGTAGTAAAATACAATTTATTTTCAACGGTTCTACAACAATGCATAATGTATTTTCCGTTGAGAATTTTAAATAACCAAAAAAACAAGCTAATACCGAATTAGTTTGGAAAATAACCCTTGTCGGCTGAACGTGAAGATTGCGTGCGATCCCTAAGTGAACGCCAAGTCAAATTTCCATGAATACATAACGAGTTTTTTTTTTTGTCATTGACATATAAAGCTTTAATAAAGAAAAAAGTGTACAGTATAATAATAGTAATATTATGTTGTACTGCGAGTGCTTAAAATTAAGCGACAAAATATAGTGCGGAAAAGGAAAGTTCGAAAAGCTTTTCATTAATGTTTTTATGACATATCAATTAATGCGAGTGCGACGGCAACGCGTTAAAACAAGAAAATACATTTTAACCAATAAAGTTTTAACACGAGTAAAACGTAATTATTACTGATTACAAAATATCGTGTTTTTGACAAGAACGCGATTAAAAAAATAAAAGTAAATCTTGCTAAAAGCTTTTAAACTTTGAATTTGTGATTGAGAAAAATGGTTTAAAATCGTTTACACGAGGTAGATTTTAGATTTTTTTTAATTATAAACTGCCCACTAATAATTTTTTGGTTAATATTTTTTTTAATGGAAAGAAACATTACATTTTAAAACTAAAAAACGCCTCAGTAAAATTAACACTATTTCGATAAATTACATTTTTTTTTTGGTGACAAAAACAAATAGGAAAAATGTATTTCTAAACTAGGAATTAAAATGTTCGTATTACCGAGTAAAAGAAAAGACATTTTTTAAAAATAATGTATGTAATACATTAGATGTATTGCAAATAAAATATCTAAGGAACGTCCTAAATGTATTCTTTTACAAAATAAACGTTTTTAATCGGCATGTTTCCGACTGCGTTTTATACATGTTTTTATTTTTAATATTTTATAATATATATTTTAATTAATTTTTTTTATAAAAATTATACCGTCACATGTAAACACCAGTTTCAATACTAACTCATGTACAATTTTTGATCCACGAAAACTATTGAATTGAATCTCCACAAATGTAAGTAATTTTAGTATTTTCTCTATGTTAGTTTTAATAAAAATGAAAAAAATGTATACGTTTATGAAACGCCTATTTGTGGGCACTAATAAATAATAATAATTTTTTTTTTGTGAACAGAACAAAAAGTATAATTGACACAACAAAACAGGCAATAAAATATAATAGGAAAATCGGTGATTATAAAGTAAAAACAATGGCGATTGCGAAGGCAAGCAATTCAGTGGACGGATGTGCCATTTAATAGACTAATACATTTTGGCTATTTGGGTCAAATATTTTTAGATTACGCGAGATACAAACAGGAGATTAAAAAAATAATTGGAATGACGGAGATTGCATTTTATGGTAAACAGACCGTATTATTACAAAGGAAAATAAACATTTGGCCTAAAGCGTTATAACCAGCGGAGATGTGGACGTGCAACAAATAAGAAGGAGAAACAAAAGCTTTTGAGATGCGGTGTTGTAGATGAATGTTAATGATAATCTGTATAGAATTTTCAATAAACGAGTATTGCAGAGAGTCAACGAGCAAAGCACAATGATGTATTTAAAAATAAAGAAAACAAGAAAATTACAAAAAGTTACAAGACAATAATTATAGAACCTCAATACATTTGAGAAAAATGGCACACCGAGAAAACTTGATTTTACAGATATTAAACAATTACAACAATATTTACGAATATTACCGAAAGTTACAAGTATTGTGCCATTAAATAAGATAGCGTTTTCTTATGCAGACACAACGCCAAAGCCAACGCGTTAGACCAAACGACGTTGATGCGCGTTCCACGGAATTGTTCGTCAACGTTCCGCTTTTCAAAAAATCCCAAACAATTTCAAGCCGCTTCGAATCAGCTTGTCAATGTGCAGCAACCCAACAAAGACCCACGAAAACAATAGTACCACTAAAGCGGCCAGTGAAAACAAGTTGGAATTGGGCACCAAATTCGCTTTGTCGCAGAGTGTCTCGTCCGTAAAGTGTGGTTCCAAAAACGGTTTAGGTCGTCGTTCGTCCGGCGGTCCGCGCCAGTCGTGGTTTGGCATCCGTTTGTGCCTACCGCCCGTTTTCTCGATCTTGTGGTCATTGCCACTGGTCGACTCGTCGCCCGACCAAAAGTCGAACAGTTCGCGGTCCGGCAATCGGTCGTCACCCGCGTGTACGGTGGTCGACTCGAAAGTTTCTTCGGGCTTGTCGAAGACGTTCACAGACTCGGCCAGCCGCAAGACCCCGGTCAGAATTGGATACCATCGGTCTTGGCCGAGTAGAGGCACCACGGCACTTTCCAACCAGTAGCCGAGGTCGTTCCGGAAACCGGCCGCATTCGTGGTGCACCTCATGGCCAGCAAAAAGTACCGGAACAACAGCTGCGATTCGTACGACGAGTCGACGCTGTAAATTTGAGCTTCGACGAACGGCAGGGCCAAGGCCCCCGGGGAGATTTCGTCGTCAAACTCGGGAACGGACACCTCTCCGTCCACGATATGCAGCTGATTGCATTCCGAACTGTAGCCTCCCGTGTAATCGATGATTTCCGGTGTGTTACAAGTGACCGACTGCGGCTTCAACCATCCACGCCCGTCCGTATTCAACGTGTACCTGTCAACAGCACGGCCGCGATGAATGGCTATAACGCATCACTAATGGGGTTGCCTTAACGCGTCCGCAAACGTGGACTCAGGCGCGTACTGGGACCAATTTCCTTACCGGGAAACCGGGTTAGAGGAGACCCCCTTTTTTTTTTTTGTTGAAAATTATACTCTGCTCGTCTGTTACACAATGAAAATAATGTTCTCAAATTTTTTGGATTTTTTTCCCCGTAATTTTGGCCATGGTCGTGAAAAGTATTTTCCTTGACACTTAATTTTTATTATTTTTTTATGGTATCTTCGGTCATAAAAAAAAAATTAATATAAAAATCAATTTCTTATGTTAAGTAATCTCAGCTTTCTGAAAAAAATATTGATTTATTTTTCGAGTAACCGGAAATCATTGAAATTGAGTTTATAATTTAAAAAGTTAATTTTTTTGTGTTTCCCAAAATTTGAGAACTTTTCTAGTATTTTTTCAGAGATATCATTTTACATAATATAGTATAAAAACGCTTAGAAAAAAATAAAAGTTGAGATTTTATAGAAGAGTAAAAAAAAATTTAACTGTTTTTATTATGTGGTCGTTATTTCCCGTTTTAGACAACTTTTACTTATAATATAATATATTATTGTACTCACCAGCAATACAGCAGTTATAAAAAAGCAAACATCAATGACGATAGTCACCATGGACAAGCGAAATGAAAATATCAAATATAAACAAACAAGAATAATTTTTAGAAATACGCAGCATAAGTTATACTTATGATAAAGGAATGATATCGCAAATCGGAAAATACCTCATGGCACAATATGAGAGTTGGGTGACACACGGGTCGGTCGTTAATATCATAATTCATAATAATCGTAAATATTAAAAATATAAGGTAATTACCGGTAAGTACCTATACCGCTTCCAAGAATTAAAAACTGCCAAAAATTTGATTATCGATATATTTTTTAAAATATAAATAACGCTGATGTATTTTATGTTCTCAAAATTACATTTCTCTTAATTGCCAATGCAAAAGGACCCCTAAGACCTCCGGGCTTCCCAACATGTCTGAGGACTTCAGATCTGGTCGTAATTGCGGCCTCAGCAAAATTGACTTTGACCAAGGGCCAAGGAGTCCATAGACCATACCCGTGCTTTGCTAACCACTAAATCGGTAATTTTTGTCAAAAACCCGGTCTTACTTGATTTTTTCCATCGTTTGGTATAATTCGTTCACGGTTGTGAAACCCGCTCTGCCTTCGTAGTACACCCTTTTGACTTGTCCTAACAATTCCCCTTGCATATATCCTCCAACGACATCCGCCATTGCCAGCATCATTTTCCTTCTCGTGACGTCATTGCTTATCGTTTGTAATTTATCTTTTATTAGTCGGAGGTACTTAAGAAACGCGTCCCCGTTCGAAACAGTTTTTGGAAGAAGGTGATCGGCCAATATTCTACATTGCAGTTGTAATACATCGTCGTCCGTCCATTTTCGCTTTAAGTCTCCGAAATGATACAACGTCGTCCCAACGTTAAGTGCGTTGTTGCTTTCGACCAAAACAACAAGTAGCGAACAAAATACCAAATCCATTGTCGGTAAATTCATTGACAGTAAGTTTCACAATGTATAACAACGAACGATTTAAACATCAAACACTAGTCTTGTGATTTTTCTTTATCAACCAGATAAATTTATTTTGTAAAAATGTCAACTTAGCTGGCCTGCGAGAACAAATATTTTATTGTCTGTTAATAAATTCTAGACTTTTTCCATTTTTATTACACACTTTTACGGTACCTAAGCGTGAGTCGTCTAGTCGGCCAAACGATTATAATAGTGTTGAGTAATAAGCGTTGAGAATAGGTGAATAAAATCATTTAAATTCAAAATGAGTTTTCAAAAGGAAAAACCGACAAAGTATCGAATAGTGATTAGTGATAAATGTTCTGCACTTAAATTTTGTTGAAAATTCTTCGTAAGGGGGGGACTTTAGACCCCCCCATAACTTAAGCCGAGGCTGTATTTTCATTGTGATAAGGGTTTTTCTATAAAATGTTAACTGGTCAAAAACCAGTTTTGCGTTAATAATTTGGCGGATATTTTCAAATTTAGAAAAAATGAATTTTAATCATTGGATTTAAAAATAAAATTCCACATTTCTAGGAGTGGTATTGGACAGAATCCAAATCCTCTTCATGATAATATATTTTGTACCATAAAACTAAAAGTCTAAATTTTGAGTAGGTAATTTTAAATAAATACAAAGTATATTCTATACATAATGTAGTGTATAGTTGTTACTTATCAGATTATAGTAATAAAATAAAATTGTGTGAGATTAAATTTTATGATATTGTTGTTAAAGGGCTTTAATGTTAGAACTAGTTTTTATATGTATATATATTTTTTTTCTAACCACAGACCAGTAATACACTATTATGTAGGTACCTATACTTTTGTACTAACTACAAATTCTTCTTTAATTCTAATTAGTTTTATGTCTATATACTAGTAACTGGGTTGGTGCCTATAATATTTGCACACACATATTACCTATAAGTTATTTGTTACAACTTACAATCAATAATCTATATGAAATAAAACAATACCTAATATATAATAAAATTAATGTTAAGAAAACCTACGATAACCTGTAGTAAATTAATATTTAAGTAATTCAATTTGTATAATTAAGAAAATGTCACGTTTAGAATTTTTTATTAACTACAGATAACACCACAGATAACACCTTCAAAACATTTATCTATATTTAACTAATAACTAGACTTTTAAGTTTTAACTAAAGAAAACACGACACATCCTCTACGCTAGATTACAATTCCGAACAAATGACACTCATTAATGCTGAGATAAAGAATTGTAAAAAACTTAATTTAAATAAAATAATAATTATATTTTAGAATTCTAAAATCGTAATTTATAAATCCCACATAAATCATAATACCCATTAAAGATATTTAATATTTAATTGTGGCTCTATTTTTTATGTTAATTCAATTAATTAGTTATTTTTATTAACGTTGTAAACACTAGTATAATATGATATAAATTATTTGTAAAAAAAAAAAATAAGAAAAGTTCCAATAAATATTATTTTAGATTTTATAAATCGGTGTTTAATTTTTTCTCAAGACAGTAATTTTTTTAAAAAAATTACCTATGTACTTTCTTTTTTTTTTTTTATAAAAAAAAATGTACATAATTAATGAAAAAAAAAATTAGGGCGACTGAACACAGATGTAAATTCTAGGGCAGAGGGGGGCAGGTTAGCCGTTAGGTTCTTTTGCCTGTGGACTGTTGTTAAATCATAAATTCCTCTACGCAAAAAAATAAAGAGGGAAATGGTTATGTATTTATAATAATTAATAATAATAAAAACAATGTTTTTGGGTAGCTTTGAATATAAGAAGGTCGTTTTGCACGTTGTTATTGTTGTTGTTGTAAATAATGATTCGGTCGACGATAATCCGATATCGTATCGCACCCACCACCTTGTGGTTATTATTATTTATTATGGTATATTGCGCCGAACGATAATATACCGTGCGGTCGCGTCGGCCGCCGGTTAATTGGCCACACTGTGCAGTGACGTTAGCGTTCAACGTCCGCCAGTGCGTACCAACCGCGCGGATTTCCCGTCATTCGGGCCGCAGCTTTGTTGTGATTACCAATTGCGTTTACCATCCCCGTTGGCCGTCGGGTGTACGTGCGAGTGAGACGGACTGTGCATTTTTATATGTGCCCGACCGAAACCGAACCGCCGACCGACAAGTGAGTTGTTCCCCGTCGTCTGCTCTCCGCCGCCGTGTGTGTTGTGTATTGTCTGTGTTTGTGTGTGTGTGTGTATGTACAAAATCAATTACGGATATATTTTCGTTCATAATTCAAAATAAATTTAAAAAAAAAGTATATCCAACCATTTTTGTATGGTAGGTAATCTTCTTTTCGGATAAATCTCAAGTGATTTATTAGCGATCGCCGTGACAACCGTTGTCGCGTCCGCCCGTCCGTCGCCGTCGCGTCCGGCCGCTCGTCGTAGGTGTCGATTAACATCCGTGTTATCCGTGTCCACTGGCTTAACGTTTTCTCCATCACAACATCGCCTCTTGGCCACCAGGGGATGATACCGCCGTCGCATTGACCGGTTCTCGTCGTGTTCTAATCAACGTGTCCACTGTCCACCGACTGTGATAATCTGGTGACAATGGTAACTTTCCACTGGATACCATGAAAATCGTTGGGGACGAGCTCAGGTCATCGTTGTCAACCAAAACGTCCACCTGCGTGATAAGGTGTCCAAATGTTTGTCGCCATGACCGGCCAGTCGGTGTTTGACGGGTTGTCGAAAGTTTTCTGTGTTCCGGACGACTGACTTGTGCAGTGTGCGTTGCCAGCATGTCTGATATCAAACGGGCTAAGCGCAGTAAACGGCGTGAGAGGGCACAGCGTATGCATGCCCAGAAACATGAGATGGACAGCGGTGAAGATGACGAGCTGTTGGCCAAGGAGAAGGCCAAGAGGCCGCCGCCGCCAAGTCGTAGAAAAAAGAATAAAGACACAGCTCTGTTTGACGAGGACGTTATCGATGGATTTGCAATACTCTCGTTTAAGTCGTACGAGGATTTAGAGGTAAGCGTCTTTACTGTCGTATTTCAACCACTATTTCCTCTTTCTACTTTAAATAAAATGCATATCAAGTAAAATATTATAATTTTTAATCCATAAAGTAAACACTTGAAGTACTATAAAATAGGTATCTTCAATTTTTTGATCACATATTTTATTTAAAAACAAACTCATATTTGATAAATTATTCTATTGAGTTAACTTTAAAAAAATGTAATGAGCATTTTTAGGCGAAGACGCAATCAGTTGTCGATCTTTTGTTTACATTCTAGCTATTAATAATTACTTAAATTAATTGAAACATTCCGATCCTGATCTGTATTTCTTTGGCTTCAGTATTTAATTAATTGTACAACAGTAAACATCTCATTTGTATGTTATCATCTATTCAATCAAAGTTATACCGTTTAAATAAATAATTATTATTGTAAGTGCAATTTTAATGACACTAGGTAGTAATAGGTCCGTTTTGCTTAGTCAAATCTCTTGAGTCTTAATGTTTAACTTAAAATGGCAACGGATACTTTATCGCTTATAGCAATAGTATTTTAGGGACAATATATGTTGGTGTTTTCATAACGTGGTTAAAAATACATTAAATAGAAATAAGTGTGACATAATTTTTTTAAAAACAATAGGATTACATTAATTGAAATACTCTTTTAAAATAATTCAATGAACTAAACAAATGTTTATCTTAAGATTGAAAAATTGCTTTGGTTGATTAAATTTACAACTTTATAACAACAAACTTTTCTAATCTCTTAAGGTTTTTGAAAAATTTCACATTAGATAAGTTAGCTCTGAATTGATAAATCATATGCACATACTATTAAAAATGTTGTGGTGCACGGTTTTTATGTGTCATTTTTATGATGGACAAACCTACGACAAATTTTACAGTGATACTCTTTTAAATGACTTGACCGAGAGCCAAAAAATATTAATTACAATATTCTTAGTGAGAAATTCTGTTTAGCACTGTTAAACATGTTATTTTAGCTTGTTAAATATCATTTTTTCTATAATTACACATTATTATTTGATGAAAAAAGTTTTATTGAATTGGCTTTTAACAGATGTGTTAAGGTTTAGAAATTGTTAGTAACTGTTAAAATAACCTTTGTTTTATTTTTGTTAGATTTATTTTATGAAGTATAATTTTTAACATATAATTTTAAAAAATATAAAAAAGTACAAATTTTATCATAAGACAATCGACATTTATTAAATTTATTCTAACTTTTTTATCTTTCAAAAATCAATATACCTATTTATTAACATTAGATTTGGATAGGATTTGCCGTTAAATTGAATATACTTTACAGGTTTTTGTAAGTTCTAATTTTGGTAAACAATATTTATTATTATATTAAATAAGTGTTAACTCGTACTATAATGGAAATAGTTAAATTTTAACTGGTAGGAATGGCATTAAAATAAATAAAAGATGAAAGATAGTTTTTTTCAGTCTTATGTTTTCATAAGTTCATGTTTTTTAACATTTCTCGTTATCAGTAAAAGTGGTTGAATTGTACCGAAATGCTGATTCTAATTCCGATCCTTAATCCATTTTTTATGCAAAGATCAATCAGGCAATCAGTATAACAATAATAATACATATGAATCAATGTAGTGAATTTTTTAGTTAAACCAGTAAAAAAAATATATATTTGATACTGTCTAACTGTGATGTATTTGTATCATATACTGTAATGTATTAGTTCATCAAACAATCTAACTTTGTGATCGCGTACATACATTTTACTACGTAACTATTTAAAAACAGTTAACTTCATAATATCGTTTTAATGTATATACTGAATCATAGATAACCTAGATTTGTTTTAAATAGAATGTTTTCAAGGGTAAATAGTTACCGAGGATGATATTGTTGTAGATTGATAAAACTATTACATGCGTTATCATTGCAATGATAATAGTATAATAATTATGAAAAGTCCTTCGAAAAATCAATTATGTAGAAACTAATAATTATCTAGCCAAATTAATGTTAATAATGAACCATAAGTACAGGTCATTAATTTTAATAAATTTTGCAATGTATTTTTAATATTTTATCCTGCCGCATTGTTGATGCAAAATACAACGATTTAACTGATAAATTTAGGTCTACAAACATTCTATATAAACCTCCATATTACTCGACCAACAAGTCATTATGTGTATTAATTAAGAGTTGTGTAAAGTAAACATTCTCTGCCTGTATAGTTTGCTCTGTAGGGACTCCGCATTAAGCTCGGTCGAATCTCAAACGTTAATTAGTGATGAAAATCAGCAATAAACTAAAAAGTGTTTACAAACCACTTTATTGTACCTAATTAATTACTGCATATATAAATTATGCAAAAGTAGTATTATACATTTTGTGTAACATTTTATGTACATATTTTGCTTTTAAATAACCGCATAACGATGATTGGTCGATATAGCAGTTTAAGCGTACAATAATTCAGCAAGTAGCAAGTAACTTTCTTGAGCTTTGTTTTTGGTTTTTATTGTTCTAAACTTAAATAAAAGAAATAGTTAAAAAAAAAAATGATTAAGCAACTAAATAATTAATTTAAGTCTTCGTTAATTAAAAGGTTCGTACCAATCTTTATCGTATATTGCTGTTATTGTTGGTTTTGTTGATGTATTGATTGTATTAATCATAAATAAAAAAAAAATGTTTAATTTAATAATATTGTAGTAATTAGTGAGAAAAGATAAGTGGCCAAAACAAAGGAATTTTTTTAATTTAATTGCAACACAAATGCGGCTTTTGCTGTTTTTCAAATTCAAATTGCTGTATCTAATCGAATTGTTTTTGGCCTTTTTTGCTATGGCTATCGATCACGCATCATTACTACAACTTCCTCCATCGTGGACCTCTCCTCCATTTCTTCCTTACTTCCGGTCCCTTTCCCCTTAGGCAAAACCCTGCAGATTATAGTAATGAAAATATGGTTTGCCGTTAAAACTAATTAATAATTTGTTGCTTAAGGATTTCTCCAAATCTTAACGGCAGAATTAATTGGTAAATGCGTTGTCAGGCGGTGTAAGGGTTGGTCGCGGTAAATTGTGAAAAATACAGTTAGCCCTTTGAGACTCACGTCGTTACGATGGCCCAATATTGTAAAACGGGCTTAAAGAAATATAATAAAGTATCTAGTACGTAAAATTGATAAGTTTACGTTAAATATATGTACAAGTATGCTAATTTACGTGTCGTGTAAAAATGTGACAACACGAACATTTTCTTCACCTAAAATAATTACGGGTCTGAAAGAGCTTTGCACCCGAATTATCCTGAATAAACATTAGACCATTCTGAGTAAACATTCGGGTTAATCTTAAAACGTGTATTTCGATTACATTTTGATATAATACACAGTTTTTTTGTTTTTAAACGCGGAAAAAACTATTAAATCGAACATTAACCTAAACGTGTCCGGAACTACATTGAAAAAAATGGCATAAAATATTATACTGTCTATAATAATGATAAAAAAAAATGTCGATAAAAATTACCTGCTAAAAAAACCCCACATAAACGTATGCTTAATTCACCCGAAAACATTATTCATACAAGTCGATTTAAATGTTATAAAATTATACACGTTTATTCATTCGAATTGAGAAGATGAAGAAAGCTAAACAAACCAAAACAAATGACCAGTTTACAATTGACAGAAACGGACAAAAAAACGTTTTTAAATCCAGTTCTTTCAGGTTTTTGAGTTTCAGTTAAACCCTAATTAGTCACGATTTAGTTGCAATGGCTGTGGTTTTATGAATAAAATATAACATATTATATGTAATAGCTTTCAACATACGAACAAATTACATCCTAAGTTGCAAATCATAAATGCCAAGTTCTGAATTCGGCAAACGTTTATTCGAATACGATTGTAGAAAATCGTTTACCTATTAAACGTACAGAACACGATAAAAATACCACCAAACCGTGTTTCTTAAAATTTGTTGCCGATTTGAATAATAATAATAAATAGTCGCGCCAGAGAAGACCAGTTTGGGATTCAGCGAAATGAGAAATGCAATTTGTAGTGTTTTTTTTTTCTACAGGCATTTTGCCAATATGGTGTTTTAGTTTTAATGCATTATACGGTGTGAGTTTTTTTTATACAATTTAATACAATCGGGTTTACAAGACACAAAGTGATAGTATCGCGCACGTATGGCTTTTTTGTCGCCGCCTTCTTGTTTGTTTTTTATACGGTTTTATTAATTTTTTTTCTATAATAAAAATCGTTTAAAAACGACTACCGTGTTATGCGTTATTGTTGCGTGACGACGAGATCGATTCACGTTAGAAAAATAATAATCATAAAAACCGTAAACTATATAGATAAGAATCGAGATATTGTATAGGTACATAATAATATATATATATATGTATAATAAACGATTCGTGTGTTGTTATTTTAAACAGCCGCGGCCGGCAAACACCATGATATATCATTATGGAGGTGGCGGCGCGGTGGAGGTAATTTGTCGGCGTCATGTTCGTCCGAGGCCGACGGACGGACGGCGTGCTGCTCGAGCCGGTTCCAGCGTTGCCGGCCACCGGCGGCCGTACCCCGCGCGCCCGCCATCCGATAGCCGCTGTTCGGCCACTGTCCGATCGATACACGCGCGTCGGACTAACGGGGTGAGTGGTTTTAGTGGTGGTGAGGCGGCGGCGCAGCATCCTCACCGTTCGGTTGCATCGCAATCGTGTATTGTTCCCCGTACGACGTTTCCACTCTCTCTCTCCTCTCCTCTTCGCGTTTAAGCGCCACGTGATAATGCAGTCTAGACGTATTGTCGTCGTCGACGCTATTGTTATCCCGCGGGATGCACATCCGCGCTTTCTTCCGCTATTGCTTCGAAACAAATTTAAACTTCCTAACTCAATGGGTCTTTTCGGGTTTGTTGGCAAATATTTTTCTTGGGACATGCAAGTAAGTAAAAGGAAATAAACTTAATCAACCCGTCAT